TCACTTCGTGGCCTGCGGACGACCGTGGCTACTACACTGGCGTGGAGTACACACCCACAGAAGTTGTTAGGACAGCGCGCGCGGGTAGAAATTTTGAAAAGTCGTGCAGGTGTTTTTCGAGGACCTACGGTGCGATTCGTGTGATTTTATGATGCGCGGTGCTAAAATTCTTAAGAACCCAATGGTTTTTGGAGATTTCGGCGTGCGCGCGCGAAGAAAAAACGAATGTGTCCCGCATGGTATTATTTGACAGGGATGATGGCCCTGGCAGGTGCGCAACCGTTGTCGCAGAAGTTCGAAAAAGTTGCTCGCAAAAGCCCGTTTGACAGAAATGTTTAAAAAGTGTTGGGTTTCCTACGAATCCGCAAGAGCGCGCGGGATGAGATTTTGACATTTTTTTGTTGAAAAACCATTGGTTTTTTGATGTTTTTATGTTAAAATCGCTCCGAACACTAAGCTTTTGGAAGGATTTCGTCTTGCGCGCGCGAATGTCCACTTTACCTTATTTTTTGCAAGGGATTCTTGAAATTTGATTATATTAGAACAAGAAATGTCATTTTATAGTGTTTTTTGCAAGGGAAAGCGGGGGGGAACAAAACAACCGGATCTTGATCACATCGAATTACCTGAGGCTTCCTCACGAAAATGATGAAAATGTAGCTGCGGCCTAGGCGGCGCAGGGGGGCCGTGCACCAGGGGCCCCAACAATAATTATTCTTTAGAATTAATAATGTTCAACAACAACAACAACAACAACAACAACAACAATCACTTTACCCGAACGCTCAGTGTTCTCACCAGTGCCAGGGTTTTCATGCGACGCCAGCCAATACCCCCACTTTGTGGGGGGGCAGTGCAAGCTCTACCAAATATCCACACGACTCTTCGCCACCACCCACACCCAGCTTCCCGCCCTATGACGTTCGGACACTTCACTTCGTGGCCTGCGGACGACCGTGGCTACTACACTGGCGTGGAGTACACACCCACAGAAGTTGTTAGGACAGCGCGCGCGGGGGAAATTTTGAAAAGTCGTGCAGGTGTTTTTCGAGGACCTACGGTGCGATTCGTGTGATTTTATGATGCGCGGTGCTAAAATTCTTAAGAAGCCCAATGGTTTTTGGAGATTTCGGCGTGCGCGCGCGAAGAAAAAACGAATGTGTCCCGCATGGTATTATTTGACAGGGATGATGGCCCTGGCAGGTGCGCAACCGTTGTCGCAGAAGTTCGAAAAAGTTGCTCGCAAAAGCCCGTTTGACAGAAATGTTTAAAAAGTGTTGGGTTTCCTACGAATCCGCAAGAGCGCGCGGGATGAGATTTTGACATTTTTTTGTTGAAAAACCATTGGTTTTTTGATGTTTTTATGTTAAAATCGCTCCGAACACTAAGCTTTTGGAAGGATTTCGTCTTGCGCGCGCGAATGTCCACTTTACCTTATTTTTTGCAAGGGATTCTTGAAATTTGATTATATTAGAACAAGAAATGTCATTTTATAGTGTTTTTTGCAAGGGAAAGCGGGGGGGAACAAAACAACCGGATCTTGATCACATCGAATTACCTGAGGCTTCCTCACGAAAATGATGAAAATGTAGCTGCGGCCTAGGCGGCGCAGGGGGGCCGTGCACCAGGGGTCCCAACAATAATTATTCTTTAGAATTAATAATGTTCAACAACAACAACAACAACAACAACATCTATGAAAACGTCCCCAGACGATACAAAAACAACAAGCAATAAAAAAACGTCCCCAGAAGATGCTTGTATTAAGTTGTTGGTATTCCTCCTGTAGAGAGGGACAGGCCCGACGGTTTCCCACTCTCGGGATGCGCTCCAGCGGCTGCGTCTCGCCGAGGGCGTTCTGGGGGTACCCGAGTCGCCCCGAACGGCCGCCGGAGACCCGAGCTATTGCCCAAGAATCAGATTTGGTGGCGCTCCCGCGGGGGAAGCGAGAAGGAGAAGGCCTTCTCAGGAGGCGGCGGGACTTCTCCGAAGCCCCCGCGCCTGCTGAGGCTATTATTAGTGTCCTCCAGGAAGGCTCGGAACATACTTTGGATTCCATAATAAAGTGGGGGGGGTCGCATTTGGGAGGGGTCTGATTTGAGCTGCCTCGGCGGGTTCGGGGGGGTCTGGGCAGAGAGCCGCCCTTTCATGGATGGTCTGGGGGGTCTGAAGCTTCTCGTCTGAGAGAGCTGTGACCCCCTCCCTTTTATTACGAAATCTGGAGTACCTCTCAGAGGGCCGGGGGACTTCCGAGCCTTCTGAGAAGGCCCACCCCTTCTCCCTTCCCCCCTCCCCTGGCTCGCCGCCGACGTGCGGCTGGCCCCGCGCAGCGGTGAGGGGGGGGCACCGGCCTGGAGGCGGAGAGGCGTCGCCGACGGATCGGCGACAGGCCGCCGATAGCGAAACCGCATGGTCCTGGGCGGGCCAGGCCAGGCTGTAGAGACCTCTGAGCCTGTCTTTAGGTCGGGCACGTCCCCCCACAGGCGGATTGTGGAGGCAAAAATTAAAAATACCCCCGAAAAAATCAAAAAATGCACAAACATACGAGGAACAAAAAAACCGTCCCCAGACTATGTTTGACTAGTTTTTGAGTATTCCTCCAGTAGAGGGACAGGCCCGACTTGAGCCCATCTCCCCAGACGCTGCCCCGGACCGTCGAGGAACCGTCGGCCGCACGCCCGGGCAGCACTGGGCTGTCGAGTTGCCTTCTGACTGCCTACCAGACCACCCCAACCCAACCCGAAAACCCAAATCTGACCCGAATTCGGGATCGGGGGGTACGAGTTACCAGCCTGGAACATATCCCTATCCCTTGTTCGGCATCGCCTCATCACGATGCCAATCTTAGGGATTCCCTTATTTTTTGAGGGCGAATCCCTAAGATTGTCACCGCCTTTTGGCGTGTCAATCTTAGGGATAAAAATACGTTCGAGGCTGGTAAACGGGCTCCGTGTGTTTTTGCCCATGTTCCCCGACCCCCACACACACACACACACACACACACACACACACACACACTGGAAGTGGAGAGGGCAAAGTGAGGCCTTCGCGTGCGCCCCACCTCTTGATGCCCCGCCCGCCCGATCCCGACCCGCCCGTGAGGGTCCGCCCGCCCGACCCGACCCGACCCGCTCGCTGGGGTCCGCCCCCCCGACCCGACTCGCTCGTGAGGTGACGAACGAACAACACACACCCATACCCATAGGGGGGTTGTTGGGAGGAGGACTCTCTGTGGGTATGGGTGCGGGTTGTCGGACCCTAGGGAACGCTCCCGTTCGAACGGGGACCCCCATCCGACAACACGCACCCATAGCCCTCTCCGGTCCCCCTATGGGTATGGGTGTGTGTTGTTGGTTCGTCACGTGAGGGGTCGCGCGTGCTCGGTCGAGCGCGCCCCGCACTTTTGGACGCCCGAAACGGGTACGGAAAACATGGGTACCATGCCCAACAGCAAATGCTGTCCCAAACCGACAGCGGTCGCTGTCGGGCAGGCGGCCTTCTGTCTCAAATGGGCACGGGCCGCGGCGGCGCGGACAGCGGGTCGTGCTCAGAATGAACAGGAACTGCTGTTGGGCATTGTACCCATTCTTTCCGTACCCATCTCTGGCCATCGCTCGGACGTTCATTCCCTGTGTTTTTTCGGTTTCGTGCGTGGTTTCGTCGCCAAATGATCAAGGATGCTCCTCGATGGTCCTCGCCGAAGGCAAAATGCACACGTTCGAGCGATGCCAAGATTTCGCTCGTGCAAAGCACTTTCGTGCCCCGCCCGCCCGACCCCGTGCGAGGGGCAGGCCGCTGTCGCCGGAACGCGCTGCGGCAGCAGCGGCCTTCGCTTCGGGTGCCCGCATTGCGGCCTCTCGCGCCCCCCCGGAGGCCGCGCGCCAGGGGCCCCTCGGGCGAAGGGTAGTTTCGGGTCGGGCGTGTTCTCACCAGCCTCGAACGTATCCCTATCCCTAAGATTGGCACGCCAAAAGGCGATGACAATCTTAGGGATTCGCCGTCAAAAAATAAGGGAATCCCTAACATTGGCATCGTGATGAGGAGGTGCCAAGCATAGGGATGGGGATATGTTCCAGGCTGGTAATGTTCCCCTACAGGCGGAGTTTGGACGCGAAAAAAAAGAAAATGGTCGAAACAGATTCAGAGATAGTCCAAGACATGCAGAAAAATCGTCCCCTGACTATTTTCTGACAATTCTTGAATTTTCCTCCTGTAGAGGGACAGGCCCGACTCGAGGGTAATTCTTGATGACGTGGCTTGCCCCGCCAAGCCTGCACCAAAAAGCCTTGCCATCTCTTGGGAAACCGACGTTTCTTATTTCCGCCAGCTCCCGCCAGCCTT